TAAGTTTCACTCGATATTTTAAAATCAAAAAATGGAATCCAATATATGTATCTTTAGCATGCTGAAGAGCAAAACTCACATGATTGCATAAAACAATGCAGAAAAAGCATTTGATAAAATTCAACACCAATTCATGATAAAAAACTCTTGGTAGTATTACCATATTCCTATTTCTCCCTTCTCAAGTCCATTTACATTTAAATTAATTTTTGATAGGTAAGGACTTACTATTGCTATGATGTTCATTGTTACGTGTTTGTTTTGTAGTTCTCTAACTGCTGTTTGTGGTTTGATTTATTTTGTAGGTATGAGTTTTGATTTCTCTCTTTCCTTGTGTATGTATTTATTTGTTTTTGTAGTTACCAGGGATTTACATTGAACACTTCATAGTTATTGCAACCTCTTTTAAACTGATAACTTTGGTAATACGCAGACTCTATACTTTGCACCTCCCTGTACATATTTTATGTAACTGATGACAGATTTTACTTCTATATTTTGTTTCCATCAGCAAGTTCTGTGGTTATAGTTATTATTATTGCTTCTGTCTTTTAACTTATTTGCTAGTGTTAAAAGTGATTTTAAGCCACTATCATGAATGATAATATTCTGTCTTTATACTGTATTTACATTAGCAGTGGATTTATACTTTTGATAAGCTTCCATGCTTCTGTATACTGTCTTTTTGTTTCAACTTGAAGAACTCCTTTTAGCACTTCTTATAAGGTAGGTTCAGTGGCCAGGAAATCTCTCAGTTTTTTGTCTGGTTTTCAGTCTTTATCTCTCAGTTGTGAAGTACCCTGGAGTCTTTGTCCACGAATGACTGCCAAGCCATTGCTTTTGTAGGGGTTTAAGGCGTGGAGACATCTTATTCCACCAACTTGCAGACATCCCTCAGGTTCTGTTAAATGCAAATTTCTAGCTGTTTATTACTGATATTAAAAATATCAAGTGATTTTTCAACATGTGTAAACTATATTGTTAGTTATAAAGTGCTTTTCTTGATTCTATTTTTCTTCATAGATGAATTATATGATTTGCAAATGTTGCCAGCTCTGCTCTTCCTTTGATTGGCTAACAAGTGATGTGCTTGTGTTTTGTTGATTCTGTTTTCCACAGAACTTATGTTTTTGCTTCCAAAAGTTATTTCTTTATTTTAACGCTTTCAGCATTTTTCTCTCATCTGCTCATATCGTTGTTTCCATTTATTTGTTAATTTTTATATTTTTCTGAAATGAATGCTTAGTTTGTATCTTTTAAATTCTAACTATAAGTATTTAGATCTGTGTGCATATTTTTCTGATTATCGTTAGGCTGCACTTTTTCAAGTGACTTACTCTTATCATCATAACTTGATGATAATTTTAACTAGAATGTTGACCAAAGATAAAATGTATCACTGGTTGTAATAGTAGATTAAATTGAGGTCATACACAGATGGAGATAGCTTGTGGATAATCCACATTTTTGTTTAGAATTGTTGTAAATTCTGAGAGAACCTGCTTCAAAATTCTAGAGATTTGCAGGTATGGTTGAGTGAATAAGAGTTAGAATGTGCCTGATAGGTAAGCTAGACATTGTATTTGGCCTGTGATGTTCTCAAAATCTTCTGAAATAAAGTATTGTTATTCTCTGTTCACCAATGAGTATGATGAGTGATTTGCCTACAGACAAAATTAATAAGCAGAGGTTACAATATTCAAATTAAGATTATGCTTTTTGTACTTGAACTTGGTATCATCCATCCCTTGTAAAGGGTTACTCCTATAAAGAATTTCCTTTATGAGAATACTTGTTTTGCACATTTCTCTCTCAAACATGGAAAGCATGTATATAAGTTAAGGATTTTATCCATGTCATTGCTAAGTGTTGAGAATTTACAATAAGCTAGACTTGTGATTTCTGGAGGTCAGAAACTGAGTAAAATAAACACTTAACTGCTTTTTATGAACTGAG